ATACATGAAGAAAGCAAAAGGTCATTAAAAAGACAGGAAAGGAAGAAAAGACCAAAATGGATGTCAGAAGAGACTCTGAAACTTGCTCTTGAATAGAGAGTAGCTAAAGGAAATGGAAGAAATGACAAGATAAAAGAGCTGAACAGAAGATGCCAAAGAGCAACTCGAGAAGACAAAGACAATTACTGTAATAAAATGTGCAAAGACCTGGAGTTAGACACCCAAAAGGGAAGAACACACTTGGCATTCTCAAAATGAAAGAACTGAAGAAAAAATTCAAGCTTCAAATTGCAATTTTGAAGGAGTCTGTGGGCAAAATATTGAATGATGCAGGAAACATCAAAATAAGATTGAGGGAATACACAGAGTCACTGTACCAAAAAGAATTAGTCGATGTTCATCCATTTCAGGATGTGGCATATGATCAAGAACCAATGGTATTGAAGGAAGAAGTCGAAGCTGCACTGAAGGAATTGGTGAAGAACAGGCCCCAGGAATTGATGGAATACCCATTGAGATGTTTCAACAAATGGATGCTGTGCTGAAGGTACTTACTCTTCTATGCCAAGAAATTTTGAAGACAGCTACTTGGCCAACTGATTGGAAGAGATCCATATTTGTATCCATTCCAAAGAAAGGTGGTCCCACAGAATGTAGAAATTATAGAACAATACCGTTGATATCACATGCAAGTAAAATTTTGCTGAAGATAATTCAAAAATGGTTGCAGCAATATATTGATAGAGAACTTTCAGAAATGCAAGCTGGATTCAGAAGAGGATGTGGAACGAGGGATATCATTGCTTATGTCAGATGGATCTTGGCTGAAAGTAAGGAATGCCAGAAATATGTTTACTTGTGTTTTATTGACTAAGCCAAGGCCTTCAACTTTGTGGATCATAACAAATTATGGGTAACATTGAGAAGAATGGTAATTCTAGAAGACTTAATTGGGCTCAGGAGGACCCTGTAAATAGACCAGCAGGCTTTCATTCAAACAGAACAAGTAGATACTGCATGGTTTAAAATCAGGAAAGGAGTGTGTCAGGGTTGTATCCTTTTCCCATGCTTATTCCATCTGTATGCTGAGCGAATAATTTGAGAAGCTATATGAAGAAGAACGTGGCATCAGGATTGGAGGAAGAGTCATTAACACCTTGCCATATGCAAATGACAAAGCTTATTTGCTGAAAGTGAAGATGACTTGATAATCAACACATCTTGATCGCATACTTGGTCAATTTCAGACTGCAGAAATTGGTAAAAAAAAAAAAATCTTAAATTTCCTCATCTTTGCCTTTAGTGGTTGATGTGTAAATTTGAATAATAGTGTTATTAACTAAATAGTCATTTATGAGTTGAATCAATTCAACAGCAGTGAGTTTAGTTTTTTTGTTTGTTGAGTAATAAAATGGATACAATATTCATCTGTCAGTTTGTCTTATTGTGGTGGCTTGTGTGTTGCTGTGAGGCTGGAGGCTATGCAGTTGGTGTTTGGAATACCAGCATAGTCACCATGCTGTACAGGTTTCAGTGGAGCTTTCAGAAGACAGGCTGGGAAGTAGGACAGGGCTATCCACTTGTGAATAAACTGGCCAGTGAAAATCTTATGAAAAACTGTGAAATACTGATATATTACTGGAAAACTGTATAAATAGCCCTGAAACATTGTCTTAAATAGTGACCAAATGTGACTTCTTCTGGTTGGAAGGCACTCAAAATAAGACTGGGGAAGAGCTGCCTCACCAAAGTAGAGTCGACCTTAATGACGTGGATAAAGTAAAGCTTTCAGGACCTTCATTTGCTAAGGGACCATGACTCAAAATGGGAAGACAGTTACAAACATCCATTAATAATTGGAATGTGAAATGTACAAAGTATGAATGTAAGAAAATTGGGAGTTGTCAAAAATGAAACAGAATGGTATTCACCATCTGAGTCAGATAATCATATGGTGTACTATGCCAGGAATGATAAGTTGAAGAGGAATGGTGTGGCATTCGTCATCAAAAAGAATGTTTCAAGATGTTTCCTGAAGTATAACCCAAAATGCACAAATAGCAGAAGAGAAACTAGATGAATGGGACCTTCTAAAAATTAAATTTTTATGTGCTTCCAAAGACTTCTCCAAAAGAGTCAAAAGAGAACCTACAGATTGGGAAAAAATATTTGGCAATGTCATATGTGACAAGGGACTTATCTCTAGAATTTATAGAAAATTCCAGCACCTCAATAACAAAAAAACAAATAATCCAGTTAAAAAATGGGCATACGACATGATAGACACTTCGCCAAGGAGGATATTCAAGCAGCCAACAAACATATGAAGAATGCTCATGATCGTTAGCTATTGTTGTTGTTGTTGTTATGTGCCATCGAGTCAGCCCTGACTCATAGCGACCCCTCCTTGGATTTCCGAGGCAGTATCACTACGGAAGTAGGATTGCCCAACCTTCCTTCCGAGGAGTGGCTGGTGGGTTTGAACCGCCAGCCTTCTGGTTAGCAGTCAAGTGCTTTAGCCGCTATGCTACCAGAGCTCCTCGTTAGCTATTAGAGAGATGCAAATCAAAACAACGAGATACCATCTTGCTCCAGCACTAGTAGCAAAGTTCAACAAGACAGAAAATAACAAATGCTGGCGAGGATGTGCAGAGATTGGGACTTTCGTTCACTGCTGGTGGGACTATGAAATGGTACAATGACTGTATGGCGATTCCTTAAAAAGTTGGAATTAGAAATACCATTTGACTCAGCCATTCCATTACTGGGTATATATCCTAAAGAAGTGAGAGCCATGACAACAACAGACATATGCACACCCATGTTCATCGCAGCACTATTTACAATAGCCAAAAGATGGAAACAACCTAGGTGTCCATCAGCTGAGAAATGGATAACCAAACTTTGATACATACACACAATAGAATACTATGCAACCCTAAAGAATAACATAGAATCTGCAAAACACTGCATAACATGGATGAACTTGGAGGACATTATGCTGAATGAAATAATTCAATCACAAAAGGACAAATATTGTATTACTCCATTATTGTAAAAATCAAGGAAAGTTTGTCTAGGGAAGGAAATTTTCTTTGTTGGTTACCGGGGGTGGGAGGGCAGGGTAGGGAACACTGTTAGATAGGTAGAGATAAGTATTGATTTGGGTGAAGACAGGGCATTGTACCACATGTGAGTGATCAATAAAACAACTTTGCTTGGGTCATACTTCCAGATACTCACTGAGATTTACTTGATCCCAGAGGGTTCTAGAATCTCATTGCCTACTTGTCTTCCCCTCTTTTCTTTTCCCCACATAATCTTAATATGCAGCAGAAGTTGAGAGTCACTGGTGTGTTAGCCTGGGTTGTCTAGAGAAGCAAAACCAGTAAAGCTTATATATAGAGAGAGAGGAAGACATTTATCTTAGGAAATGGCTCACACACTTATAGAAGCTAGCAAGTCCCAAGTTCTTGGATCAGATGTCAAGCTGGAGGCTTTTCCCAACTCTCACAGATGCAGGGGTTGATGAGCTCAAGGTTGGCAAGCAGTGTACTGGCTGTTGACTCCAACGAATGATGAACCCAAGATCTCCAGGACATTTGGTGGATTGGTCGCTCATGAACAGTTGTAGGCAGCACAACAGGATCCCAATCCACAGAAGAGTGTCTCTTTTTCCCAGGATGTCCATAAATATATTAGAAGCAGGCCACACAACTAGGGAAACTCCCTTTCAACGGATTGTCTGCTCAAGTCATATACATCCAATCTCATCATGGGACTAACCCACATCATAACTGCCTAAACCACTCAGAATTATGGTTCAACCAAGTTGACATACAACTCCAGCTATCACACTGGCTTTGCCAATGCAGGAGTTCTATATTGATGGCATCAAAAGCCAAGTAATTTTCTTTTATATTCTACCTGATGCTTGATGTCTGTTATATGTATTTGTTGGTGGGCTGGAGATAGAGACAATGGAACAATAGGCCTGTAATAGAAAATATTTTTATTAAAAGTATTTCTTAATTTGAGTCAGTTTATAACAGTTTCTTACCCAATGAAACTTGTGAGAACCAGAACTCAATGAGACTGCCTTGTTTCTCTGGGTTTTTGGAAAATGTTCCCCGTTGTCAGAGTGCAGTCTTAGCACTTTGCTGTCACTCATTTTAGTGGAAAATATTTTGGATTTTCCTTCTCTGACAGGTTTCTGCCTTAGACAGGTTCCAACTTTTGCAAGTTTTGCTATATCAGATTTGGATATACATTCCTAGTTAAATAGGCTCACCTTTCACTACTGCCTTAATCTGCTGCTGTCAAGGATGAACTTTTCTCAAATGATTTTTCCTATGGCTTTAATAGAATACAACATTCGTTATTAACTCTTTTTATAATGTCTCTATTACTATAGTGTTTTCTTTCCATTCCACAGGTCATAGGTTTTGGGTCTGTTAAAATTGCAGCATTCATAGCTATGGTAGGAATTCTGTCTATTGTGGCTCAGGTAAGTATCATCTTAACCATATCAATTTTTTTTAAAAAAACTTTTTATCCTGAAATACCACAGATTATAGAAAGTCACAAAGAAGTATATAGGGAGGTCCCTTACCCAAATGCCACGCCCCTGTCCCTCATGCAATATGTTATGCAACTATAGTATATAGCATTGATACAGTCCATAGAAGCATAACATTTTAAATATAATATGTAGGTTACAATTTAGGAGGAATTTAATACTATGTTTTACTACTTTTTAGGGAACTTATAACTCTTGTTGGGTTAATTCTTTTGTTTGCTTTTATACCAACCAAAATTGTAAATAATTGCTATCTAAATCCTGATAGGATCTTGTCTGTCAGTCTGATAAATCTCATTTATCAGTTTATTGTACTATAGTGGTTTGTGTGTTGCTGTGAGACTGAAGGCTGTGCCACTGGTATATCAAATAACAGCAGGGGCAAACATGGTGAGCAGGTTTCAGTAGAGCTTCCAGACTAAGAGTCAGAAGAAGGAAGAGACCATCCACTTCTAAAGTATTGACCAGTGAAAACTTTATTGATAGCAGTGGGACACTGTCTGATATATTATTGGAAGACTTTATGAATAGCCCTGAAACGTTGTCTAATAACCATGCTGGAAGATGAGCCCCTCGGGTCAGAAGGCACTCAAACTACAATTGGGGAGGAGTTGCCGTCTCAAAGTAGTCAACTTTAGTGATGTAGATGGAGTAAAGCTTTTGGAATCTTCATTTTCTGATAGGGCATGACTCAATATGGGAAGAACCAGCTGCAAATATCCATTACTCTTTGGAACATGGAGTATACAAAGTATTAATCTAGGAAAATTGGAAGTTGTACAGAATGAAATGGAATGCATAGAGATCAATATCCTAGGCATTAGTGAGCTGAAATGGACTTGTTTTGGCCATTTTGAATCAGACAACCATAAGATCGACTGTGCCAGGAATGACAAATTGAATAGGAATGGCATGGCATTCATCATCATAAAGAATGTTTCAAGATCTATCCTGAAGTACAGTGTTCTCAGTAATAATAAAAAAAAAAAAAAAAAAAAAAAAACCATAAACCTACAAGGAAGACTAGTTAATACTGCTAATATTCAAATTTATGCTCCAACCACCAAAGCCAAATTTGAGGAGATTGAAGATTTTTACCAAGTTCTATAGTCTGAAATTGACCAAACGTGCACTCAAGATTTATTGATTATTGCTGGTTTTGGAATGCAAAAATTGGAAACAAAGAAGAATCACCAGTAGGGCCTTGGTGAGAGAAGTGACACTGGAGATTGCATGATAGAATTTTGCAAGACCAGTGACTGATTAATCGCAAATACCTTTTTCAACAACATAACCGGCATGGACTTTGCCAGATGGAATACACAGGAATCAACTCAATTACATCCGTGGCAAGAGATGATGGAGAAGCTCAGTACAAAGCCAGGAGCTGACTGTGGAAGAGACCATATCAATTGCTGATATGGAAGTTCAAGTTCATGCTGAAAACCATTAAAACAAGTCCACAAGATCCAAAATATGACTTTGATTATATCCCACCTGAATTTCGAGAACATCTGAAGTTTAGATTTGACGCATTGAACCCCAGTGATCAGAAACCAGATGAATTGTGGGATGACATCATCCATGAAGAAAGCAAAAAAGTCATTAAAAAGACAGGAAAGGAAGAAAAGACCAAAATGGATGTCAGAAGAGACTTGGAAACTCACTTTTGAATGCAGAGCAGCCAAAGCAAATAGAAGGAAATGACAAGAGAGCTGAATAGAAGATTTCAAAGAGCAGCTCAAGAAGACAAAGTCAGTTATTATAATGAAACGAGCAGAGACCTGGAGTTAGGAAACCAAAAGGGAAGAACACGCTTGGCATTTCTCAAGCTGAAGGAACTGAAGAAAACATCCAAGCCTCAAGCTGGAGTATTGAATGATTCTATGAGCAAAAACTCAGTGATGCAGGAAGCATCAAAAGAGGATGGGAGGAATATGCAGAGTCACTGTGCCAAAAAGAATTGGTTGATGTTCATCTCTTTCAGGAGGTGGCATATGATCAAGAACCAATGGTACTGAAGTAAGAAGATGAAGCTTCACTGAAGGAAATGGCAAAAAACAAGACCCCAAGAATTGACAGAATACTCATTGAGATGTTTCAGCGAATGCTACAATGAAGGCACTTACTTGCATATGCCATGAAATTTAGAAGACAGCTATGTGGCCAACTTACTGGAAGACATCCATATTTGTACCCATTCCAAAGAAAAGTGATCCCACAGAATGTGAAAGTTATCAAACAATATCCTTAATACCACACACAAGTAAAATTTTGCTGAAGATAATTAAAAAACAGTTACTACAGTGTATTGACAGGGAACTTACAAAAATGCAAATTGGATTCAGAAGAGGACGTGGGACAAGGAATATCATAGATGATGTCAGATGGATCTTGGCTGAAAGCAAAGAACACCAGAAAGATGTTTACTCATGTTTTATTGGCTATCCAAAAGCATTCACCTGTATGGATCATAACAGATTATGGATAACATTAAGAAGAATGGAAATTATAGAACACTAATTATGCTCATGAGGAACCTGTCCATAGACCAGGAGGCTCTAATTCAAACAGAACAAGGAGATACTGCATGGTTTAATATCAAGAAGGGAACGCGTTAGGGTTGTATCCTTTCACTGTACTTACTCAGTCTGTATGCTGAGCAGATACCCCGAGAAGCTGGACTATATGAAGAAGAACACAGCATCAAGACTGGAGGAAGACTCATTAACAACCTGCAATATGGAGATGACACAACTTTGCTTGCTGAAAGTAAAGATGACTTGAAGATCTTACAAAGATTAAAAAGTACACTCTGCAGTGTGGATTACACCTCAACATAGAGAAAATAAAAATCCTCACAATTGGACCAATAAGCAACATCACGATAAATAGAGAGAAAGAAGATTGAAGTTGTATTAGTTGGATCCATAGTCAACCCCAATGGAAGCAGCAGTCAGAAAATCGGATGAGGTATTGCACTGGACAAATATACTGCAAAAGACCTCTTTAAAGTGCTGAAGAGTGAAGATGTCTCTTTGAAAGACTAAGGTGAGCCCTACTGAAGCCATGGTATTTTCAATAGCTTCATATGCATGTGCAAGCTGGACAACGAATAAGGAAGACTGAAGAAGAGTTGTTGCTTTTGAGTTGTGGTCTTGCAAATAATATTGAAAGTACCAGGGACTGCCAGGAGAACTAACAAGTCTTTCCTGGAAGAAGTGTAGCTGGAATGCTCCTTGGCAGTGAGAATGGCAAGACTTTGTCTCACTTATTTTGGTCATGTCAGAAAGGACCATTCCCTGGAGAAAGGGTATCATGCTTGATAAAGTAGATGGTCATTGAAAAAGGGAAGACTTGCAATGAGATGGATTGATACAGTGGCTACAGTGCTGGGCTCAGGTATAGTGAGGATTATGAGGCTGGTGCAGGGCCAGGCAGTATTTTGTTCTGTTGTACATAGAGCCGCTATGAGTTGGAGCCAACTTGATGGCACCTAACAACAACAAATACAGATATAGCAAAATTAGCTTAACCAGGAAAATACTTCAGTAGTTTTAATGTTGAAAAGTAATTAAATGTAAAAGCAGAAATGAAAATCCATAGCTCTTCCAAACTCTGTTGTCCCTAGGATTTAAGAATGTTGTGAATCAGTGGGTTGGAATATACATAATGTAAAGAGCAAGAAGTAATTTCTCATCTCTTACAAATCTAGGACCACAAAAAAGAGGGCATGTAGCGTTTAAATTTATTCAGTGCTTAGGTGCATTCACTGTGTCGTGGAATTGTCATACCCTTTTTCCCTGAAGCAAATCCCTGCTGCTTTTGAAGCTTGCTTGACTGAGCAGAGTGGTCTGCTGTGATAACCGTGTAGGAGAAAATGAGAAGACGTGGAAATAGTTTTCCCCAAATACTGAAATTAACAAGGTATATAGCATTGCATCAAAGCTGAGGCTTTTTTTTATTTTTGTCAAACTGTATTAGCAAATAGAGTTATTTGAAACTTTCAGGTTGTCATGATTTTGTTTTGTTTTCTATATTAACTCTAGTCAATCCACTAGCCGAGTCATCTTTTATCCTACCCCTTTTCAGGCCCCTGAATTACCAACATCTAACTTGTGGTCAACTCCTACTTTCTCTTTAATGTTAGGTAATTTTGCCCTCTATTTCAAAAGATTGAACCAGACCCTACTCACAACAAATTCTTCATCACAATCACCTTCAATTGCTGCATATGCAGCTTTTAAATCAGTCAAAAGAAGGTGAGCCTTTTTTTGCACAAAAATAAGGCTAAATACGAACTGTAATGCATCTGTATGCTAACTCAACTACAAATTCCACTTAAAGACATAAAGATGCAGTTAGGAATGGATCTTGTTTATAACTGGGAACTGCCTATAGTTATTTTTAGCAGAGTATATATTTGTTAATTGGAAGGAAGGTTGGACAATCTACTTCCGTAGAGATACCACCTTGAAAACCCAAGGAGGGGTCACTATGAGTTGAACTGACTCAATGGCAGTGAGTTTGGTTTTTGGTTTTGTATATGTTAAGATCTACTAGGAAGGAAGATGGGGCAATCTACTTCCATAGTGATACTGCCTTGGAAACCCAAGGAGGGGTCGCTATGAGTTGGGTCCGACTTGACGGCACATAACAACAACAACAATCCCAACTTTGTAAAGCTATTTACCTCCAGCAAAATCCCACATTTGTCATAAATGTTGAGCAGGAGTTTGCTATTCACTGATGACTGAATGATTGACATCTTGTCAGAGAGACTGGGGTGTCTTCCCTATCTTGATAACTGGTGAACAGCTATTAGTAGGAGATAAAAGGATCCCATAACCTTTTGAGGAGTGCAGAAAAGCACTAGGTAGACGAACTGAGGCTGAAGGCCTCAAGTCCTAGGTCTATCTGAGAGGCCTTGATGCTCCCCCTATCCCATGTAGAACTGAATCAGTATTGCCCAGTCTCCAAGGTTGAGGACCACAAAGTGGGCCTTTAGAGGACTAGTCATTAGTGAATGGGTCTCACTCACAGAGCTTGCATTCAGTTTCTGTGTGTGCATGGTTTCTCAAGATTCTCTCCTTTACTTTGCAGACAGTCTTTCTTAGCATCTTGATGAGATCATTAGGGAATAAGAATACTGTCCTTCTTGGCTTGGGCTTCCAGATGTTCCAGTTGGCATGGTATGGTTTTGGATCTCAGGCCTGGTAAGTCTCTTCCTTAGATTCTCATGAAGTAACAGACAAATGGGTCTTTCAAAGGAGTTTGACCTGATTGAGTACATTTTGAAAAAAGCAAGGGTTATTTTTGTTGTTGTTGCTACATAATTTTAGGAATGTGATAAAAGTTTACTGGTTAGGTGTATTCACCATTTCGAAAACCATTTAGACGTTTATTTGGGGAAAGGTACAGCTAGGTAATTCAGGATTATTTGTAAAGATTGTATTCACTTTAGTGGGTTTTCAGTAAGTAGTTAGTTAATTGAATATGTGTCAACAACCCTCACCTCCAGTGTCCCCAGTTACATTTTAACTCTGTTTTTTAAACACCTTTGTTAATTTTTTAAGACACTGCATATAATCAAAAGTAAAACCAAAAGACAAGGAAAAAATGACTGTGGCAGGCTGCACTGCCATAATTAGCTGAGTGACCTGGGTAACATAACCTTATAAAATAAAGCATTTTAGTTAAACCAATACTAAAATCTCTTCCCAAATCATGTGTGTCCTGAGACAGTCATTACTGCTAGCGTATAAAATTTTCATAACAGGAAAGAAGGTCAAGAAATGCCCTGTGAAATAAGAAGAAATAAAAAGAATCCCAAGTATTGTTTTGTTCTATGGAAGCTTTCCCTGTGTGCCTTGTTAACAAATACCAGATTGCATGTCTTCGTTTTAAACATTAGAGTTGGAGGAGCTCACTTTACATATATGGAGGGATGGCATAATTCAGAGAAACTAGACAAGCTTTAATGGCGGTCTGGTTGGGGAGCAAATGAGAAAAGAGTGTCTTTCTCTCTGTATGAAGTCTTATCAGATTAACTTGGTCAATTCTTCTTTAAGATTTGGGTCCTGTGAACTTTGGTTTATTAGCTGATTCAATCAAATCCATTTGGTGTTTAAAAGACTTTGTGGACGTAAAGGGTTTTTTGAGTTTTTTTTTCCAGCAAAGATGTGGTTGTCAGCCAGCCCCAGTGAAGTCTGGCCAAGAAGGCCAGTGAGAAAAGAACTTCAGATCTCTATTTTTTCAGTTCATGGCACAGTGTGACTTGGTTTTGTTCAGGCGTAAAAACTGAGCAGCTTGAGGGCTAATGTAAGATGAGTCTTTGAGAAGTCCAAAACAAAAATTTAAAAATCAGTAGGGAAAATTCAGTGTTTATATAAGCAAAAAAATTCCTTATGAACTTCATGGAGCTTGTATCTGAAGCTGGTAATAAGGAAACTAGGAAGAAGAAAAGATTTTGAAAGAAGAAAATGAAATTTAAAAATGAAACTTTCCTACCCCCTCAGCCCCTCTACTTCTGTCTTAGTCCCTAAAGTGATCAGTATTAACAGTGTAAAATAGACACCTTCTAGGTTTAAAAAAAAAAAATCCATACTTTTGGAGAAAAATGAATTAGCACTAGAAAACATTTGTTGTTTTGCCACTGATTGTATTCTGAATAGTGATGTCCCTGGGCCAGCCTGCCCACATGACTGCAACCTGTCCTATCATTGCAGGATGATGTGGGCAGCAGGGACTATAGCTGCCATGTCAAGCATCACATTTCCAGCAGTCAGTGCCCTTATTTCACGGAATGCAGAGTCTGATCAACAAGGTAAGATCGCTGTCTTCCTCACTGCCCTCCCTCTTTAGCTGAGCCCTACTTGCCAGAGGCAAAAAGAAGCTCTGATGCCACTATACTGAGCCAGGGTGTCAGTCATGCCTTTCCTTCTCAACAATCATACCTATTTATCTTGCCTAATAGGAAAATTCAAGGAAAATGATTATTTTTTTGGGCTCTATATCCTGCTTTGTCTTAATTTTCAAAATCCCGATTCATCTGTTTAGAATACTAAGAATCAGAACTGACCATCATCTTTTAACAGTTTTGACGCTTCTCTATTACCATCAGAATTAACTAGACTATGGTCCCTTTTTAACAGATTATTGTTTAATAATGATAGAGCAGTTAGTAATGCTATAATTCTCTAAGTTTCTTAGCTTAATTTAGGAGATGGTTCTTTTTTTTTTTTTGTCTTTTTATTTTTTTATTTTAAGAGCTTGTTTTACATTCAATGTTACTTGTACATTTAGTTTCACTCCCCATTTACTACGTCCAACCCTAACCCAGTATCCTCGCATCCCTACCCTGTAACCCTCCTCCTGTGCCCCTCATATTTATGCACTCCTGTTTGTCCTGCATTTCCTCTATTTGAATGTTGGTCCTCTGGTGCCCCGTGGTCTATTGCTCTAAGGGATGTATTACCATAGAGTATTTGGGTGCATCATCCTGGGTTGAGTGGTTTGCGTGTACATCTTGTTAACTGTTGGGCTGAAAGCCAGTCCCTGGGGGTGCATTTTATTCCAGGTGCAGAATGTATTCCAGGGCCATAGTATTGGGGGTCTCACCAGATTTCATCTGATAAGTAAGTCTGATCATTATTGAGATTTTGGATTTTGTTTCACATTTTCCCTCCCACTCTATCCAGGATCTCCAGATTTGATCCTTTCTTGAGTGGTTGGTATTGGTAGCTGGGCACCATCTAGTTCTTCTGGTCTCGAGGGCCATCTTGTCCTATGGCTGATTGTTTCCAAATGCCCTTGGTTTCTTTTTCTTTTTTTTGCATTCTTCTTTGCTTCCGCCACAAGGAGACCATTAGCTGCATCTTAGATGGCTGCTTAAAAGCTTTTAAGCCCCCCAGTCACTATTCACCAATGTATGATGCGAAACAAAGCTTTTATGTATTTTGTTGTGCCAATTGAGTCAAGTGTCCCCCAGTACTATGGTCCTGAGACAGTAGATCTGTGGGATCTCTCTCCCATAGTATCTGGTTGTGAGAGATTACTCTGTGTCTGTCTTTTGTTGTTTCTATAAGGACTGCAGGTATTTTGTATCACTGGTGTCTGTGCAAGATTAGCCTCAGCTGAATCAATCCTTGGTCTATAGTATACTCCTGTTCACTGACCCCCATCTGATCCTTTCAGGTGTTTATATGTAGCCTGGTGTTTGGTGTTAATGGTAATGCAGTATTGTGGAAACATTGGTTGGTATTAGCATCTGTTATCTATCTCTTATGTGCACAATGTGGTGTAGGAGATGGTTCTTTGAAAAGAAAAAGAAAAATCTGTGATTATTGGTAATTGAATGCAGAATGAAGGACAAAATGAAAATTAGGAGTATGTATGTAATAGTTGTAGCTGTGTATCAACTTGGCTGGACCACAATTCTGTGTGGCTTAAGCTGTTGTAATGTGGTTATTCCCATGATGGGATCAGATGATTATGTTTTGAGCAGCCAGTCTGTTGAAAGGGAGTTTTGCTAGGGGTTTGTCCTGCTTCCAGTATATCTATGGACATCCTGGGAAAAGAGACATTCCTCTGTGGATTGGGATTCTGTTGTGCTGCCTACAACTGTCTGTGAGCGAACAATCCACCATTCGTCCAGGAGATCTTGGATTCGTCATTCATTGGAGTCAACAGCCAGTACATTGCCTGCCAACCTTGAGCTCCTCAGCCCCTACAGCTGCAAGAGTTGGGAAAAGCCTCCAGCTTGACGTTTGATTCAAGAACTTTGGATTTGCCAGCTTTTATAAGTGTGTGAGCCATTTTCCTAAGATAAATTTCTCTCTCTCTATATATATATAAGCTTTACTGGTTTTGTTTCTTTATAGAACACATTTGGTACCGGTAGTGGTTCTAGAGAGACAAAATCATAAGGATGGGCTTCCTAAATTGGTTCTCCAATTTGATTAATCTTAAACACACTAGTGACCCTGCTTCTGTTAGAAAAGAGGGTCCTGCTAATCCATGGCGTGAGGTGGCAACATTAATAAGGAAAATAGCACCACCAGTGGATCAAGTACTTGTGAGAAGTGAGACACTGAGTGATCACATATTTGATCCTTTTTTCAATTTTGTCAGCATGAGGAATATAAGGAAGCTGGTTGGTTGGTCCTACCTACATTGGACAAGGTGGTTAAAGAGCGAGATGAGCTCAGAGCTGCTGAGTCTCGGCTTAAGTGCCGCATAAAAGACCTCAGTTCTTCCAGTTGTGCTCTGAAAGAATGCCTTATATCTTCTAGCAACAGAGCTGATACTGCTGAAAACCAGACCCAGAGTCTTAATGTAAGGGTGGCTGAATTACAACGCCGATTAAATTGCCAAATCAGAATGGTGTCTGAAGTTAAAGTGAGGGCATTGATTGGGAAAAAATGGGATCCTGAAACCAGGAGAGGGGACATATGGACAGATAGTCAGGAAGATCAGGATATGGAGCCTGTAAATTCTGTTGAATCCCTCCCATCTGAAGGGATTACTTTAAAACCATTATCCCTCCACCTCAGTTTGATGGGATTAACCCAACTGGTCCTGCTGGGTCATTGTTTGAGGCAGAGGCCATGGAAGACATTCCTGAATGTTCTCAGGAACTGTCTCAACCATCCACTGTTGCTGCTAGACCTATAACTAAAGTTAAGTCCAAGCGAGCCCCAAAAGGTGAAATAGAAAGTGTGACTGAGGAGGTGTGGTATGCTACACCCGAAAAGACCTGCTTGATTTTGCTAACATGTACTGACATAAACCTGGAGACTATGTGTGGGAATGGCTACTGAACGTGTGGGATTAATGGTACAAGGATTGTAAGATTGGATCAGTATGAGTTTATTGATTTAGGCCCACTAAGTATGGATTCTTCATTCAGTGTTTCAGCTCGAGAGGTTAGGAAAGCATGTAATAGTTTATTTGGTTGGCTTACTGAAGAATGGATTATGTGATGGCTTACCTTAAGTCAAGTTGCAGTACCAGACTTGCCTTGGTATAATGTGGAAGAAGGTATCCAGAGGCTTAGGGAAATTGGCCTGTTAGAATGGATTTATCAGATTACACCCCTAGAGCCAGAAATGCAGAGTCCAGAAGATACGCCTTTCACCAGTACTGTGAGGAATAAATTTGTGAAGGGAGCTCCAGCATCCTTGAAGACTACTGTGATTGCTATTTTATGTAAACCTGATTTGACAGTGGGAACTGCCCTAATTGAACTAAGACACTTAACTACAATAGGGCTTATTGGACCCCGTGGTAGTAGGGGCCAAGTGGCAGCAGTTAATCGGTAAAGGCAAGGTGGGCATGGTTACCATAATGGACAGCAGAGTCAGAACAGTAATCAGAATAGTCTGACACGTGTGAAATTATGACATTGGCTACTTGCTCATGGTGTTCCTCGTAGTGAAATACATGGCAAGCCTACTAAATATTTACTTGATCTGTACAGACAGAAGAATTCTAGGTCACAGGAACAGCAACCTAGATTGAATCACCAGAATACAGAGTCACAACCTCTCGATCAATTCCCAGACTTGAGTCAATTTACAGACCTACAACCCCATAAATGATGGGGTGGCCAGGTCCCTTTGAGGAAGAACCCCACTACATTGCCAAAAATCTATAATGTCAATCTTTCTCCTAGCTTTCCCCAAAGGGACCTGAGGCCTTTTACGAGAGTGACTGGTCATTGAGGAAAAGGAAATAATCAGACTTTTCAGGGATTACTGGACACTGGCTTTGAATTGACACTAATTCCAGGAGACCCAAAGCGTCATTGTGACCCACCAGTCAGAATGGGGGCATATGGAGGTCAAATTATTGATGGAGTCTTAGCTAAGGTGCATCTCACCGTGGGTCCACTGGGTCCCCGAACCCATCCAGTAGTGATTTCCCCAATGCCAGAATGCATAATTGGAATAGATATACTGAGCAATTGGCAGAATTCCCACATTGGCTCTCTGACATGTGGAGTAAGGGCTATTATGGTAGGAAAAGCCAAGTGGAAGCCATTAGAACTGCCTCTACCTACAACAATAGTAAATCCAAAGCAGTACCGCATCCCTGGAGGGGTTGCAGAGATTACTGCCACCATCAAGGACTTGAAGGATGCCCAGGTGGTGATTCCCACCACATCCCCATTTAATTCACCTATTTGGCCTGTGCAAAAAACAGATGGATGTTGGAGAATGACAGTAGATTATCGTAAACTTAATCAGGTGATGACTCCAATTGCAGCTGCTGTTCCTGATGTGGTTTCATTGCTTGAGCAAATTAGTACATCTCCTGGTACTTGGTATGCAGCTATTGATCTGGCCAATGCCTTTTTCTCAAT